AAGCTTCCCAACGAGGAATAAATTTGCCCCCTCTCTGGACTCATGCATCATAGGCACAAGGGACGCATTTCAGGAGTCAAGTTGAAACTAGAATGTCAACAGGCATTCAGAAAAATCAGCTCAAATGCAGTGACGCACATTGTCCGTTTCGTCAGAATCGACAAGGCCACGGGATTGTCTAGATGCATCGGCTAGCGACATTCACCACCAGCGTCGTTCAAGGTGAAGCGGTGCAGTAGAAATTAAGGTCAGCCACGAATGTTCAGTTTTGACTCAGGAGACCTGCTGATGGACAATGGTTAGCGTTGGACGCGGTGACTCTTGAAGTACACTAAAAGTCGCTCACTTGTGCTGGTCTTGGTCAAGTGTTAGTCAGAAGCTGTAGAATCATGTCCTGGAAATTATACAGCGACGGGTCAGTCAATCGACTGAGGTCATTTTAACGATATCCCAGGACAGATTTTTCTTAAATCTAAGACATTATCTCTTGAATATACGTCTCATTAACCGATGTTTTGGGGTATTCATACATTTTTATATGTCTTAAATATAGCCCATGATACGGCATTGTCATGGATTGTCATATCCAGAGTTTTTCTCTGAACCTCGCTGTAAGAATCCAATGTCAATTATTGTTATCCACCGTTAATAACGACGTAAGACCACATGAATTTAAGTTTAATCCGCAAAACTGACGCTTTGAATTTTAGCCATAGATCTGTTTTAACTTCAGATTGCTTGTCACCATTACTGGCTATTGAGCACAGTTGTTGCTTTGTTCAGGAAAAAGGATCCCGGTGAAGGAATGAGAAAAAAGGATCTGCTGAGCTACTGCTACGGGAAGAATCTTCCAATTTAACGCAGTTGCTGATGAGCCAAAGAAAGAAAATCGGAATGAAATCCGTTCCAAACACGATTTTCTATTTTGATGTTAATGAGCGTCAAGGAAGTCGATAGACCTGATTGAAAATCAGCGACTTGGACAACCACAACAGGACTTAGTAGTTCCCTTGGTGAAGTCATGCTTGTTAAAAGTTGTGAGCGCTTCCGATTATTGCAGTGTTCTTTTAGTCCGCTGAAACAGAATCATCATTAACTCCAAAAACAATAGCTCTTTCTATGGTAAATTATTGTCATACTGCATTAACAAAAGCTACATTCGAAAAAGACGGAGCATTTTTTCGTGGAGGTATGTTTAGATCGAAGATATTTGCCCAAACGTTGCTGATACCGAAGTTTGGCGTGGATAGCTTAATTATAAACAGCAGACAATGCTAGGTTCATCAGTAGACTACTATTCTGTTGACGCTTTGATCATCTCTCTGGTTCTTCTTCAGAATGGTGATGCATCTTTGTTTGGTGTCCCGATGTTGTATGCAGCGAGCCGTAGGCTTTCGGACCTTGATGAAGGTTTGCCAGAAATGAGCCGAAAGCTCACCAGTGATTTATCATCGGATAAACTGCCTGTTTTGCGTTAAGCAAATAAGCCATGTTATGTTGCTTTAACACCTGCCTTTGCTGAATTTGCAAGATGATCATCACCAGAGTTGAATCATGGAAGACGATCATGAAGAAGACAGGTGTCAACGTGGTCTGAAATGCCAGCTCCTCTGGATGTGGTGGCACAGCAGCAAAGAGGTCAACTTCGAAGTGCGAAGGTACGGGTTTGGAATCAAAGAGGGGACAGTCCTTTTCTTAATCACCATTTCCGTTCAGATATGACTTTGCCCTGTGTTACCAGTTCGACTAGCCGAATAACGATAACAAGTCGCTGGCATGGGAACTACAGGAACAGCAATGGTAGGTTAGTTTTGTCATACCATGCTGTGCAGT